CATATTTTACTAGGACTGGGACTTGGAATGAAAATGGGAATTACGTTTATGGGGAGGGGAAGGGCATGACTTGTCCCTCATTGGGTGAGTTATTGGGGGCTCTTTGAATACTTCCTGCTTTCTTGGGTAGAATATAAATTTGAAAACACATTGACATTAAGTTATGCAAGGCCTGGTATGAAAAAAGCAGTATCTATTTTTAAAAATCTACTTGGTGTTTTCAAAATAAATAAAATCACCAGTTCTTTTTGAAGAATTTAAAGTACTTGTGTTTCAGAGGTATTTTTAGAATGTGTAATTACTGCTATTTTCAAAGTGTTTTGAAGTCAACTCTTCATTATTTACCTGGTAAAATGTTCAATCAAAAATTGCATAGTGTCTTTCACAGCTCCTCAGAAAGAAAAAAAAAAGTCACGTAGGTTGAACTTCGACATTTGTACAGTACTTCCAGTTGAATAAGGAAGGTGTTTAATGAATATCCTGGCAGTTAAGATCCAACAAAAATTATTTTGCTGATATAGGAAGAACTCAGGAAGAGTGAAGAAATAGTAAAATTTCCTTTCCACCTATCTTTCTGTGACCTTCTTTTGTTTTTGTTTTAATTCTCAGAAGAGATCACGCTTTCAGACTAAATGTTAGGATTGTCTTTTTTCCTTATGATCCCTGGTGGTGAGAGAGAATCGGAGAGGGAAGGAAAGAGGCAGAGAAATTAGGTATTAGAAGTACAAAGCAATTAGAGTCAGATGTCATATCAAAACATTGTAAAATGAGGAGCTTCCATTTTAATTGTGAATCTTGAGCACCCTGTTAAGGAAAGTAGAGGTCAATGATCAAACCCTAAAGCAAGCAAAGTCTCAACATAAGTAGATATGCCCTGTTTAGAAACTCTTTATATGTGATATTGACATCCTCTTGTATGATTTCTTTGCACCTGTTTGATTGGTCCAGGAGGTGGCTTCTTTGGAATTGTGGACACATCGGGAAGTACAGAATTTATAATAGAAAGAGACCTGGCTTAAGAATTAGAAGATCTGTAGTTTAGTTTTGGCTTTTCTAGAAGATCTCTCATGCCTGTCTTTTACCTTCTTGATGCTCTAACTTTCTGTTTTAAAAAGAGGATGTCACATAGGTTCACCAGAAGTTTATTGTGGAAATCGAATACCTAACACTTAGGGTTATTGAAAGGATCAAGAGAATTAAAAGATATAGAAACACTGTAAAGTGATTTAAGAGTATTAGACATTATTATAATTACAGTGACCCATTTTCCAAACCCAAATTGGACCACATGGTTTGAGAGATGATTTTTGTGTCACTTCCAAGGGCAAGAAGCAGTCTGCACAATGTAGCTCAGATGCCAAAATATTGACATCTCTGGCACATTTTGATAATTTATGGGAGTAATGATAAAATATTTGAAATAGTGACTTAGTAAAATTCATGATGTATGATCACTCTGATTATGAAATTTCTTTGCAAAAGGTATTTTATTTCTTATATAAGTAGAAGTTCATTGATTTTATAGAATCCTAAAACTGGGAGGGACTCTTAAGAGACTCTACTTCATTTTTTGCCCTAGGTCTCCAGGAGAAATGCTGGGTAAAGATTTTGGGGGAGGCAAATTTTATAACCTGCCTTAGTTCAGTAGCTTGTTTTATTACTGAGCATCCTTATTTCAAAAATCTCTCTGTATTTTAACTACTATTACCTTTATTTTTCATATATATATATGAAAATTAGGAAATGAATAAGCTTTTTAATAGGAAATTCATTTTTAAGGGATAATAATACAAAAAAAATTCTCTGCTAAAAAGACTTAAAAACCTTTATAGGCCATAAACATTACATTTATTTATCTTAGAATATATTATGTTTCTTCAGGCACAGTGGCTCACACCTGTAATCCCAGCACTTTGGGAGGCCAAGGCAGGTGGACCACTTGAGGTCAGGAGTTTAGACCAGCCTGGCCAACACTGTGAACCCATCTTTACAAAAAATAGAAAAATTAGCTAGGTGTGGTGGCTCGTACTCCCAGCTACTTGGGAGACTGAGGCAGGAGGATCACTTGAGCCCAGAAGTAGAGGTTAAAATGAGCCGAGATCACACCACTGCACTTCAGCTTGGCCTACAGAATGAGACCCTGTCTAAAAAAGAAAAGAAAAGAAAAAATATATATTCTGTTTCTTGTATGATAACATTAAAAATTTATTTTATTTACTTTGGTTTAGCACCATAATGAATTCATATGACATCTAGCATCAAACTTCACCTTGAAATTTAAAAATTTATTGATTCCTTGGAGTCCTTTGGCTTCTTCAAACAGCAGCATATGTGACAGAAGTAATAGTCATTTTTGTAGCTATACTACAAAAAACTTTGGTGTTCATTTTCTCTCTTTCATCTTGCTCCTCCTTTCATGAAATCTTTGAGATTTGTAGCTTGAAGGTATAAACCTTTTGTTTTCTACTTTTGCAGCCATATATCAAAACATTAAGGTGTTTATTTTTATTTTCCATGACAAGAAAGGGAACATTTTAGAGTTTATTTACCCTGACATTTATAGTAACTTGAAAATTGTGGAACAGATCAAGTTCATACTGATTGTTCCATGAAGCCTCTGACTTTTCAGCACAAACCATACACTAAACTGAGGCAATTATGATACCCAAATATCATAACTGAATTTGGTGTTAATATTCCAGCTGAGGTTTCAGTTTTTACCCAAATGTCTAAAACTTCTGGATTACATCCCTGGAACTGGTTCTGAAAGACTGAATGGATTTGCAGCTGGACTAAAACAAAGCTATATCCTTGGCTAGGGGGTTGCCCCATGAATTATGTATTTTGTAGCCTTTGCATGACTTCAGAGGTTAGACAGAAACAGAAGAAAGTGGCGCTCATAGATGACTGGTCTATAAAACTGGATATAGTAACTGGGATATATGCAAAAGATATTCTGTCTTGGCAGTTTTCTTAGAGATTGGGGCAAATGGCACACAGACCAATAGGATGGCTTGCATTTGGCTTTTAAAGCTGTTGAGAAGTATTATTATTATTATTATTGTTAATGAAAAGTGTAAGCTTCATCCTTGGAGATTGCTGCTGCCAGACCACTAATAGAGGACCTCTATTTGTGAGCCTAGGGATTGTCGTTCTGAAGTCAGGCTCTCAGCTCAGTGAAAGAAATTAGGTGTTAGGGGAGACTGATGCCTCATTAAAGGGATCTCCTTTGATTGAGTGGGGCAGTGTTCAACCCAGTCCTCCTCAGTGGTATTCCTAAAGTTGCTGAGCTTATTATTCATATCGATCATATCTTTGTGCATTCATGAAAAGAATGTCTATTTAATGTGGACATGACCAGCCATCAGAGAGAATAAATGCCTTACTAAAGCTTGATATGACTGACTGTTGGCCTTGTGGATGGTAACACTGAATCAGTCTGGCTAGTTTTTTCTTAATTGTTGATGCACTATACCATCACAGATTGATCCAGTTGGAGTTCAGAGCTTAAGTGGGTACCAAAGCAAAAAAATCTAGCACCCTGTGGGTAGTTTGAAATGCCAGGTTTGCTTTTGTGGAGTCAGTAGTGTAATGTCTTTTATTTTTTATGCAACCCCTGCTGAAATTTAAAGTCGTGAAATTCAAGAAATCATGATACTCATACGTTGAGACTGTACACACTCTGGCTTGGCCTTGGTGCTTTTTTTCAGGTATATAAATTATACATCGCAGTGTAATTCAGAAATGACAGCTTCTAAGAAGAAGAATAAAAGATTCTTTGAGCCACAAAGAAGGTTAGAATATATAGTTTTTCTAGCTCAGCTTAGGATGTTCATGGTTCCCTGCCAGACAGGAATGTTTAAGGCACACACAAGCATTGAGATCATTAACACATAGAGTCTTACATCTTGTTTCCAGATATAGGAATTGATAAGGTAATAAGATATCGTCACTTTAGTATAAAATATTACGTCTATCCAACTATACATATTATTTTCAAAGTTTGATATCCATAATAACGGCAATGGTAATACTATCTTATATTTATATATTGATTTATAGTTCATAAAATGGTTTCATATATTATCCCAAATCTGGGCTGGCTAATAACTTTAAAGTTATTTGGTACTTTTATGTTACTTGTCAGAAGACAATCTTAGTGACCTTTGATTTTATAGAGAAACAACCTGTCACTAATGAAATTTATAAAGCAACTTATGCATTGATTTTATTTTTATATTTTATTTTTTATTTTTGAGATAGAGTCTTGTTCTTGCCCAGGCTAGAGGGCAGTGGCATGATCTCGGTTCACTGCAACCTCCTCTTCCCAGGTTCAAGCGATTCTCCTGCCTCAGCCTTCTAAGTAGCTTGGTTTAAAAGCATGTGCCACAGTGCCCAGCTAATTTTTGTATAATTTTTAGTAGAGATGGACTTTCACCATGTTGCCCAGGCTGGTCTTGAACTCTTGGTCTCAAGTGATCCAGTTACTTTGGCCTTCCAAAATGCTAGGATTACAGGTGTGAGACACTGCGCCCAGCCTGATTTTTAAAAAAACTCTTGCAGAAAGAAAAAAAAGAAAAAAAAAAAAAAAAAAAAAGACCCTTGTAACCTAGTTTAACCTGGGTTTTGGGATGGTTTGTTAACAATTGGGCAATTTTTCTTTGTTGAAATTTGGCTTTATTGGTGTTGGATATAGACTTTATACATAATATGCTAAAATATGACTTCCTATTCATAGGCAAAACTAACAAATTTAGTGCCTTTTTTGTCTTATTATTTTTAAATTACAGATACCTGAAGCCCTGTCATAATTGAATGTATCATCCTATGATTTAAAAACATTATCATTTTTGAACATAATTTGAAAAATGAACACCACTCTGGAGAAGTGAGGCAGGGCAGCAAATAAATAGGGTTGGACAAGCTGAATTCAATTTATGAATTCTTTTCAAGTACTTATTGATTATAGAAATAAGTAGTAGCCTATGCTTTTCTTTCAGAACTTTGCAGAAAACACCATGAATGAACTCCTTGGCTGGTATGGCTATGATAAGGTTGAATTAAAAGATGGTGAAGATATTGAATTCAGGAGCTACCCTACAGATGGGGAGAGCCGGCAGCACATTTCTGTTCTCAAAGGTAATGACATTTAATGTCCTTTTGTTCATGCAAAGAAGGATTAACTATCTCACCCTGCCAGAATTGAGTTGCTTTGGGACTCGTTTTGTTGATTATGCCAATGGTTGATTTAAACATACATCCCCAGTAGTGCTTTCTCATAAGCAGAATTCCACAGAATATAAAAGAACAACATAAAACAAAAATAGACACAGCTTAATCTCCTCCCAGCAATGGGAGAACTAGACAAGGGCTAGCGACCTAAGTGCCATGGTCCTGCATACAGATTAAAAGAAAGGGACAATGTTTGCTAACTTCTTCTAGTTTCCTGATCCCTTTGATAGATCATCAGTTGTGGGGACTGGGGCTTTCTGTTAAATGAAATGTTAGGTTTAGATGATCAGACTGCTAGAGAGATTCACTGTTGGTTTGGTAATCCCCCTTCCTTTTTTTCAGTGGGAAATCTAAATGGAAGTACTATTTTTGTTTTGTTTAACATTTTCATTCTTTCCCTGCCCCCACACACTTGAATAGGGTAAAAAGAGGAGTAAGAGAGTAATAGTAGGTGATTAGAGACTATATTATTCTTTAAGAATTTTTTAATCAAAGCCCAGCAAAAGAGTGAAAATTACAGAGGCTTGGCAGAGCTGAATTAACACTGATTTTACCAGTGGGTAGCAGTGCGAGATATCTCATGGGGGAAGTCTGTATGAATACTGAATTTATGAACCTAAATTTGGAATGAGAGCTTGTTTGTCAAAGAAAAGAGAAGTATGTGAAGAAGTAGCCCATTTAGGGAACTTAATAAAATATGGGTAAAACAAATTGTACATAATCACCGGCAATTCTATCAGTATTTGCGTTGCATTCAAAATCTATTGGCATAAACTACCTGTTCAAACATTTTATTTCCAGTCTTTAAGATAGAACTTTCCCTTCGTATATGCCAACCAAGGAAATGTAATTGAGTTGTCCTGCAGGCAAGTGGAATTGAATGTACATGACAAATTTTATGTTAAGCTTACTATGAAATTGTACATATCCCGTTACAGAGATAGTATCATCAATTTCACTATAAATGAAAAATGCAAGTCATGAGTTTGTGTTCAATAAACTAATAGCTCATATAATACTTGGCCCAGGAAACAATCTTTGCTTTTGGGGAACATAGGAAATGCCAGGATATGCTACTAGAAGGAAAAAATTGTTTTCTATGGTTGAGGTTTTTGTTCATTTATTTTTTTAAAGTGATTCACAAGCAAGGATAAGACACACAAAGCTCATGTCATTATAAGTTTAAAAAATTTTGTTTTTGTTATTTTTTAATGGATATTATCAATACCTTGTAAAGCATCAGTTTTCTTCCCTGCTTCTTTCTCATTGCTTCATTTGATTATATTATGATACGAGTTTGTAATACAGTGGGACCTAGTTAAAATGCTGGAGGGCACGTTTTAGGCTTTCCCCTGGTAGCCAGAGAGCTGTTTGCTGTATGTCACGTTGTACATGGAAAAGGTTAATTACCTCTCAGTTTTCTTTTCTTTCTTCCTTTTATTTGAGACAGTTTTGTTCTGTCACTTAGGCTGGAGTATAGTGGCGTAATCTTAGCTCACTGCAACCTCTGGCTCCTGGGTTCAAGCAATTATCCTGCCTCAGCCTTCCAAGTAACTGGATTACGGATGTGCGCCATCATGCCTGGCTGAATTTCGTATTTTTAGTAGAGATGAGGTCTCACCATGTTGGCCAGGCTGGTTTCGAACTCCTGGCCTCAATCGATCTGCCTGCCTTGACTTCCCGAACTGCTGGGATTACACACATGTGCCACTGCACCTGGCCACCTCTCAGTTTTTTGTTTGTTTTTTTTTTTTGAGACAGAGTCTCACTCCGTCACCCAGGCTGGAGTATAGTGGCATGATTTCGACTCACTGCAACCTCTGCCTCCCAGGTTCAAGGGATTCTCTTGCCTCAGCCTCCCAAGTAGCTGGGACTATAGGCACGTGCCACCATGCCCGGCTAATTTTTGTATTTTTAGTAGAGATGGGCTTTCACCATGTTGGGCAGGCTGGTTTTGAATTCCTGACCTCAGGCAATCCACCAGCCTTGGCCTCCCAAAGTGCTGGGATTACAGGCGTGAGCCACCATACCCAACCACCACCTCTCAATTTTCTGTGGAATTATACAGTGCTAAAATTCATCACCATGATTCAACTGGGATATTAGCTATCGTAGTGGAGCAAATTATATAGGAGCCCACTGGAAATTTATGGTAACCAGACTAAAACGTTCCAGGATGAACTGTGGAGTTCTAGTACATTGTTTAAAGATTTACAAGGAAAAATGTGTTTGGTTCATGGCCATTTTACTTGAGAAAATAAGGAAAAATTTAAGTGTACTGCATTAGGTTTTTTTTGTCATATTGAATATGATTTTTTTCTTTTACAGAAAATTCTTTGCCAAAACCAAAATTACCTGAGGACAGTGTTATTTCACCATACAATATAAGCACAGGCTATTCAGGGCTTGCCACTGGAAATGGACTCAGTGACTCACCTGCAGGGTCAAAGGATCATGGCAATGTGCCCATTATTGTACCTTTAATTCCACCACCTTTCATAAAGCCACCAGCAGGTAAGACACTACTGGGGTTTTCAGTGATAACAATTCATAGAAAATGGTTTTAACTATCTCGTGAATAATTATTAAATGCTCAAGTTAACTTTGGTCGAGGCTGTTTTAGGGACCTTATAGGTAAGAAATGTTAATGCAGGCGTTACTTAAAGTACTATTGCTATATTAGGAAAATTTCCCTACCTACTACTACTTAGGCTATAAACTTTCAACTGACAATAAACCTTTTCTAACACCGACTACAAAATAAAATTATTTTTTTCTCTGAAGTTACCTGTGTAAAATTAGAAAAAAAAGATAAAATGTTTTTTAAAAATAAGATATAGACAATGACTGTTTAGTAATAAAAAAAGTAACCATGGTTGAACTGGGTGGTGCATAAGGAGGGCCAGGTCTCCTCTGGGGTTTTCTGAGGAGAGGGATAGTTTTGTAAATGGGTGTGTGGCAGGCTTGTTCTTCAACATGCCTTCCTCTAAATCCATTCGACAAACCACCTAGATCAAGCTTGTCTAACCTGTGGCCCAACACAAATTTGTAAACTTTCTTAAAACATTATGAGACTTTTTTTTTTCAAGACGGAGTTTCCCTCTTGTTGCCCAGGCTGGAATGCAGTGGCACTATCTTGGCTCACTGCAACCTCCACCTCCTGGGTTCAAGTGATTCTCCTGCATTAGCCTCACCAGTAGCTGGGATTACAGGTGGTCACCATCTCGCCTGGCTAATTTTTGTATTTTTAGTAGAGATGGGGTTTCACCATGTTGGCCAGGATAGTCTTGAACTCCGAATCTCTGGTGATCCACCTGCCTTGGCCTCCTAAAGTGCTGGGATTACAGGCGTGAGCCACTGTGCCTGGCCCTAAAAAATGTTTTAAAACTCATCAGCTATCATTAATGTTAGTGTATTTTATGTGAGGCCTAAGACAAGATAATTCTTCCAGTGTGGCCCAGGGAAGCCCAAAGATTGGACATGCCTGAAGATTATGTATCTTCTCCACACAGAATTCTTTCTAATTCCTGGAAAGCTCTCTTTGAGAGCTTTTTTAAAAAAAATTCTTATTCTTCTTTTTTTAAATGATGATCTTTCACTTGTGTGAAAATGTAATTCGTTCTTTTATATTTCCAGAAAATTAGATGGCAGTGTATTAGATCTAGATGGCAGTGGGCTGAGCATTATATGATATTGCAAGTTGGTCTACAAGTATATTTTACAAAGAGAAAGAAGTTAACTAATATTGTATCTGGCTTGCTGTAAAATGTTGGAATCATGCTAGAATGTTTAAGTGTAATGCTGGTTATTTTTCTCTATGTTGGACTGAACAATGATAAATACTGAGTTTCAACAGCAGTGCTTATGATAACATACTAAAGCCAATGCTTGTATTTTTATTAGGGAAGATAGATGTTTGGTTATGCTTCCATAAACAGTGAAGAAATTTGTAGATACAAGTTCCTGGGCTTATGTTATAGATATATTTACACTGTATTCTAAGTGTTACTCATATTTTCCTTCATAGTTATGGTCACATTCTTTTGCTTGGCCTGGTACGTTTTAGCAGTAAAAATATCCTTTCGGCCGGGCACGGTGGCTCACGCCTTTAATCCCAGCACTTTGGGAGGCTGAAGCGGGCGGATCATTTGAGGTCAGGAGTTTGAGACCAGCCTGGCCAACGTGGAGAAATGCTATCTCTACTAAAACTACAAAAATTAGCCAGGCATGATGGTAGGCACCTGTAATCCCAGCTACTAGGGGGGCTGAGGCAGAAGAATCGCTTGAATCTGGGAGGCAGAGACTGCAGTAAACTGAGATCATACCACTGCACTCCAGCCTGGGTGACAGAGTGAGACTGTCTCAAAAAAAAAAAAAAAAAAAAAGAAAAAAAAATGTTCTTTCATTCTAAGGTCCTTAGGTATGTTGTTAAAATTCATTTACCTGTCAAAATCACTTGTAATTGTGTTTGTCTACTAATTACTAATATAATTGGTATATCATATAAAGTTTGCCTTATTAATTTCCCTCTTCTCCTTTGGTTGATTGTTTTTTGATACAGAGGGGTTCACATTAATCTCCCAAGGACTAGACATATTTTATATAGGCCAACTGGGGAAAAAAAATAACTAATTTTGTAAATGTAGAGTTTATGTTTGAATATATGCCCAGCAGCTTAGGACAGGGGAGATGATGATGAGGGTATCAATAAGGCAGTATGAGTAAGTGAGAAGTACATGGGGTTCAGATTCAGACAGATTGGGTTCAGATCTAGGCTTTGTCATGTACCAGCTATATGAACACAGACAAGTGACATAAGCTCTCTTCCCTTCAGTATTCTCATCTGTAAAATGGGGATCCCACCCCTACCTCATGAGGTTGTTGTGGAGATAAGGAAATATATGTAAAGCCCTTAGCATAGTGCCTGCCACACAAAAGTCACTTTAGTAAACACCAGACCTTTTTTCTCTTTTTCTGCCCTTTTTCTGCCCTAGAGTTATCATGCACATAAATTGTGCATAAAAAGGTGTGCATCCAAATGCAAATCGGTCTCTAAGATTTATTTGAGCAAAGCAAACAGCTTTAAAAATTAGCATAGCTGAGGCTAACATAAGTTTGGCATGCCAAAAAACCTGCCCTGGAGTTTCCTGCTGAGCCAGCCACGTGGAATTCAAGTACACAGCTCCTATTTAACTCTAATTCCACATCAGATCAGGAAACAAATATGTGAAGGGATAGAGGCCAAAAATTGAGCCTTGGAAGTCTTAGATGTAGGAACTCTGAGGAATTAGAAGCCAGAGTAACTGAACACCAGTGGTTTTATTGGTTTTATGCTGTCTTCCATGGAATTCCAAGGCACTCATCTGTTGAAAATAAAATGTAAGGAAGGACATGTTTAATTTTCTGTCTCTGCTCTCAACTTTGACTCTGTCCTACTCAAGGGTTCTATATGACAAGACAAAGATACAAAAAGGTTCTCTGCTTTTAAGGAACTTATTCTCATAGTTACCAAGCAGAAACTTATAGAAATGTTGAATTTTGATTTAGTCATACTATCTAGGGCAGTGGTCAGCAAACCTTTTCTGTAAAGGGCCAGATAGTATTTTAGACTTTTTAGACCATATTGTCTCTATTACAACTACAGAGCTCTTCTGTTTAGCCGAAGGGCAGCCATAAATAATACATAAACAAATGGGTGTGGCTGGGTTCCAATAAAACTTTATTTACAAAAAAGACAGTGGGCAGGGTTTGGCCCAGGGGCATAATCTGCTGCTTGTGCTAGGGTAAGATTAGCCAAAATCTCATGATAACAGGAAGGTGAATAGAGTTTCAGAGTCAGGCTGTGGACTTTGCCAAAGTGCGCTATGTAATATTTCAAGAAAGAAAGAACAACAAGGGCAGAAAAATAGTGAGTTTTCAGGGTATTTGGTGAGCTCTGACACAATATTTGTTGAATAAATGAATATATGACTGATATTCAAATATTAGTGCACATATGTAAGCATTTCACTGAGAATATGCTAGCATTTTGTCTGGATTAGCCCCAACCTGTTTGACCTTGACTGCAGCTTCCTTGAGAGTGAAATGAAGATTCCATTACTCTTAATTATCCATGTCTAAAGTCAACAGATTATCCCCAAACTTCCATCTAGTGAGTCATTTTTACTCTTCCATTGCTAAAACTTTTACCAGAGTTGTGATTCAAGGTAATTGAGTTGAGATATGCTCGATGTCAATATTCTAGCTGCATGTAGGTTAATGCGGCATTCCTGTGGGGAAACAAACAAAGGGTACAGTGGCTAGAAGCAAAAGGCCCCTTTATAATCAGCCCTTGAATAATTTAGCGTTGACCATGTAATGCAAGTTCAGCTCTCATGATAGGGAAGATGAGGATCATATGTATGCTTTGGATTCCTGTGTTAGTGTTCAAATTATTTATTCCTATCCCATTGTAAACTGGCTATGTGAAAATGCTAATAATACTTTTTATTTTATTAAATTTTTTACAGTTTATGAATTTCATTTTATGAATTTCATTCACATTGATCATTTTATTTAATTTGGTCTTAGTATAATTCTGGGAAATAGCATGTTAGATTTTAAATTTACAGAACTGAGGTTCAAATAGATTAAATGGCTTTTTCAAGGTCCCATGTCTTTTAAGAACTTGAGCCGAGACTAGTACTAAGGTCTTCTGACTTCGAATCCAAAATTCTTTTTAATATAAATTGCCTTTTAGTATATTTCTGCAAAATTTCTCTAGCTTGTATCAGAATAATAATGCCTACTAATATACTACTTCTGGGTACCCCAATGAGAGGAGATACGATCTCTTCCTGCAAAAAGCTACTTTTTCAAGTCCACATTTTTTGGGAGACTCGGTGAGTTCTTCCTTAACCCTGAGAATCTGTGGTTCTATAAATGTGGATGGCCCAGTAGGGGTAAAATCCCTTTACAGTTCTTGCCATTATGAGGTGAGTTGCTTCTCTGTGGGGGTACCAGAGGGCTCCATCTGGTCAGGCACTGGTTCCCAAGCATGTGTTTCATGTGCTGGGGCAGGCTTACCACTGGATCTCATTCGTGTCTTGGCAGCCAGTGGGCCCAGTGGAATACTTGTGATTGGGAACACGGTGATACCACATTCACTTGGATCTCCACTTTCCTTTCTCACAGCTGCATAGAGAATTGTGGGTGTAGCTTACTTCTGGGCCTGGAGAACTGCTCTGCTGGCCCTGTCCTCCCTCTTCTCTGGAGGAGGGCAGCTTCTGTGTCTTGGCAATTACCACAGCATTGACCCTGCTCTGGCCGCACATGTGTGCATTCATCTTTCGTGGCTGTGCTGCCTTTCCAACACCTTACAGTCTCTGGCCCTTGGTGTATGGTTTGTGACATCACAAGCATTACTATGGTAACAGACATGTTATAAACACAGGATAATAGCCTTGCTTTTGCTTTCTCCCTCCCCTGCCCCCATGCAGTGAAGGGAATCACCATGATCCTTAAATAATAATCAC